ATAACTGTTTGGCTCTATCCAGCTGGCAGAGAACTGCTCCTCATGGCCTGATATGGACACAGTTGGGCACATTGGTACAAACAGCTATAATCAGCCCAGAACGCTTGCCCAGGTCACAGGTTTAAGCTCTTTTACTGCAGCTCATCTGCTCCCAAGACTCAAATAGTTTTGACCCTGTTTATGGCTATTCATACGAATGATATTTCTGTGTAGGGCAGCATCAGGGATAAAAAATGCTAAAGGTTAATGGTGGATTTTAGAGATTTGAAGGACTTCACTCTCAGATCTTTGCTGCTGGGGAATTTTCAGTCTGAGAGAACTAATCTTAATCTGATTGGAATTTCTTGCACTTGAAGCCTAACCTACTTTAGACAGGCTTCCTGGGAGGGTATTTATAGAAGCTGTTGCAAGTGCTGTTGGATGTGGCATAAAACATATATTGCAAGCTGCGTAGGTGAATGAATGCTGGTGCTGAGAGCATCTCTGCAACTCTTTGCTATCCCTCATGGTTAAATTACCAAAGGGTATTTGGTAAGGTATTACTCGGGAGAAAAGTTATATTGCTTATTGCTTTCATGACATGGGAAGGTAACAACTAAGAGCTGTTCTGGAGTCCTGGCTGATCTGGCCTCTTTTTTGAACTCTTAAGTGAAAACATGCTTGGAGTTGTAAATGAATTATGGATAAACCCTGTTTCTAATGAAATGACTTCTAAAAATGAACATGCCTAGTATGTTTCTGGAGCAGATCTTCAGCTGAATTCTGACTCAGAGGTTATTGTAAATCAAAGGTTCTCTTTCTCTAACATGTGCATTAAAGGGGCAATACATGTCAGTAGACTGCAGAAGACATAGTGAAAATGTTTGTGCTATTACTTTTGAAAAGTAGGTTTCTTTTATAGAATCATAGAATCATTATGGCTGGAAAAGACCTTTAAGGTCATCAAGACCAAGTCCCCTTTCCTTTTCTTACAGTTCTTAGAGCTATTAACAGAATCTTCACTTTCATTCAGACTCCCAAATTAACTTATTCTATGTACTGAGTTTCTTCACGTTTTGGTTCAAAATAGGGCTAGTTGTTATCTTGAAAATTTCAATTCAATATGCCTTGAGGTTAAGGCTGGAAGCCTACCTTGCTTGGATGTTAGTAGTGCTGATTTTGGAGTACATCCATCATCAAGATTGGAAGGGAAGGAAATATAGCTGGAGGACTGTAGCTGGGAAGAGTTTATAGGAAGGTAGAGCTGTGCTAGCAGCACTAGAGATAATGAGCAGTGAATTTCTTATGTATCAGCAAATCGGCAACATCAGGGTTACAACTCTGAATGTGGATGAATGTTCCTCTTATGTCTGTACGTTAAAGCCTATGTTTTGTTTGTGGACAAGATCTGACAATTTGGACAGCAAGAGTTGCTGGTTGGTCAAGCCACTGCTGCTGTCATGCAGTGACCTGTTGCTAAAACAGCCTCTTTTTATAAGTAGGAAAACAAGAAAACTATTATTTTATGAGCACAGTGATTTGAGGCAAGGAAGGCTGTAATTTTATGAATGTAAAATTATTTACCATCAAAAAGCTATTTGTCAGTCTTTTTTTTAGTCCAAGGGCAGCATTTGAAGCTTAAGCTTCCTATCTGAAATCCTTGATTTCAAAAGGCTGCCAGAGATGACAACTTGTTTTGATTCCCTCTGCCTCCTCGTTCGTTTTGTTGTGTTGTTGCAGGTGCCGTTTCATTTACAGTGTGTGTTTCCGCATGGCTTGTGCTAGACGGGAATTCCCGGCATTCCTCAGGATACGTTTCTTTACTACATGTCTTGTTCATCACTTGAGCAAAAAGAAGCCATTCTATTTCTGTCCCAGGGATAAATCCTGTTATTTATGTATTTCTGAGAAATCTAGATCTGTGTAGAGGAATTATGATATTGAAAACTATTAGTGGAAGACTGTTGAGACAGAAGTCAATAGATTGGAGTTTAACTGGGACAGAAAGTGTTCTGGTACAGTTTGAAAACAGAGGGAGACTTGATATTAAAAGTCTTTGGGACTTTTCAACCGTGGAAAGAATAGGAGAAGCTTTTGAGAAGAAGAGATTTTATTGGTAGGCATTTTGTCACTTATAATATTGTGCCACTTCAAGGACAAGCATTCTATTAACTTGTGTAAATGTTGTAGTTAGAAATGGAAAATCTTATGCCACTGTACTATTGCCCTTCAAAGAGAGGGATAGTGTTTCAGGCATGTGAATAAAACAAACCTACAAGAATGATGAAAGCTGTAAATCATCGGACCTCGTCGGAGAGCAGAATTTATGCAGCCGTAACAGGAAAAGTGACTAAGGGGTTGTATAACCATTATCTGCAAGTACCTGCCAAGAGGAGCTAACACCCACGCACGTCGACACAACGGCAGGGGCAGGACCGAGAAAGGAAAAATAAGGAGGGGAAAGTTTTAGGAATGCATTCTGAGACTAGGAAGTATCCGAAATCCCTCACAGGAGGGAATTCAGTGTTTGTGCTTTGCCCTAAGAAGGGAGGCGCTGTCAAGGGTGTTGTTGAAAGAGGTCTCCTGGGTGCTGGTGCGGGGCTGGGGCTGCTCACGGGGGCCCCTGCCAGGAAATCGCTGTTTCCTCTCCGGTGTCAGAGCTGCCCCGTGCTGGGAGCTCCGGAGGAAAGCGGCAGGACTTGCCAAGAGACAGGTGCGAGATGTAAATTATTCTGCTTCTCTGTTGGCTCAGAGACCCGTTAGTGTTATCTGGATATTCCTGTTGTTCCCACAAATGTCTGATCTTTAAGAATATTCCTAGGTGATTGGCCTCGAAGGTGTGGGGAGGTAATGAGTCCTGCCATTTCATTACACAGGATATGGTAGACTTGATTTTGCCACCTTGCTGGTGCTGGTCAACTCCGTCATTTCTGGATTATACATGAGAGAGAACTGATCTCCCACGTTTTGTTTAAGTGATTCCCCACTAGTTCACTGGGCTCGTGTTTACCACTGTGCTTAGAAACTCTTCTCTCTGATATTTGCACAAGAGACGTATCTTGCTCCTTTGGGTGTGTTGCTGTAAATGCATGATTGGCACCTCTCAGCTGGTGGATGCCAGGGATGCAAGGAAGAAGGAATGGGGATCAGGACATGTGGATAGGCAAGTATTTAAAGAAGAAAGAAATGTTAAAAACACCTGGCATTCTTTGGAAGGTCACGTTGTTGCTCTCTCCATCCAGAGGTATTTGGCTTTCACTGTCTACATGGGACTTCAGCTGCATTGCCTGCTCTGGAAGGCTTTGGAGTGGCAAAGTCATAGTAGTAGCTGCGACTTGATTGTCCTGCTTAGAAATATGACAGTATTAAGTTTATAAATGCCCTCCTCTGTGTTATTTGTGAGGTTAAGTTGGTTTTGTAGATCAGTAGATCAGGTGTTTTCTGGGCTACGGAATATTGGACAGATGTAGTTAAATGGCTAGTTTGGGCATTCCTTCACTTTCTAACATAAGAGCAAAAGAAATTACCTTTTTACAGTGGATTTAATAAAAGGCAAAATAAGAGGATGCTGTGAAAGGCAAAATAAACCAAATCAGAGCAGCTCTCAGACCAAATGTGATATTTATCCATATTCTGACAAAGACATCTCTATTTTTACTCTGGAAAGGAGAGAGCCATTTAGTGCTTGTCTAGTTGCAGTCTTCTCAGGAAGGGACCTTTGGAGATTGTCTGTTGGTTGTCTCCTTATAGTTCTGCAGCCTAGACCCGACTGTATCATCTCTGCAGGGCCAGTGTGACCAAGAAAAATGCATCAGGAATGGAATTTGACCCCCTAACCCTCTATTTTGTGACACTGGGCTCCTTAGTAGAGCAGTCCTCACCCCAACCAGCTGTGGGCTTTAAGTTAGGTACCCTTTACTTTCAGGCGATGGGTTTTTCTTCTGCACCTTTACTCATGATGAAAAGCCCAGTGTGAACGACTCTGTGGCAAATCTACCTGTGAATTGATACCTAAAAATGGTGATCTGTAGTTTACTCTAGGTGATTGAGAAAGTTATTGCTAAATGGTTTCACACTACTGGGTTTTGGTCAAGTTTCTTTCTTGGCATTCATGGGTGACTTTATTAAAAAGAGAGAAAATTGAGGCAAGTGCATATGGGTATTTCCACAGCAATTGCTCTATCACAGTGGGATCGTAGCTGAAAGTATGCATCAGTAATTTAAAAGTAGAAGATATTATACAAGAAATACATAATCAGCTCTAAGTGAAAACCAGATACCCACAAAGGTCAGACTGGCACTGCAGAAATTCCGGTGTTTTAGGTGCGGTAACACAGGTAGCTGTAACTGTGTCCTGCAGTTGGTGCTGGAAGGCAGAATTTAAATCAAATATATTCTAACCTGTTTTGTAACATCTAGTTAATATAAATGGGAATTGCAACCATGTAGGAGCCCTGGTTGGGGGTGTGTGAACATCGCGTGGTCTCAACATCGCGGGGCTGTTGCCTTGACTTGCATTTCAGACTGCACTGCACTTAAATGTCTTTTGCCTACATCCTTCGTTCGAAGTTTTCTAGCTTTATCATGTTGGTTTTAGATGAATGGCACCATCCTTGTAATACTTCGTGCTCTGAATTTGCTGTTCAGCACTTTCACATGTAATGAGTTCTATTTTTTCTCTTTTTTTTTTTTGCTTTTGGAGCTACTAAAACCACACATACAAGGGAGAAGAATATTACAGAAGCTGATGGGCGCTTTTGCACAGGGCTTTTGCTCTAAAGTTCTTTTTCAGGCCAAGAAGCCTGTGATATAGTGAATTCTGACATCTGTTTTACAAGCGTGAGTAGAAGCAGGGTGTTGGGATTCAAGGTATTATGGCCACTGCCTCCTGGGCTGGGAGGTGGCGGGACGAACCCTTTAAATGAACAGTGAAGGGTTAAGGCTTCCACCCACCGAGTCACAAATCTGGGCTGAGCCCTGCTCATCCTGAGGGGGTTTCAGTCTCCTGTTCCTGTTTCTAGACCACTCAGGGGGCAGTTTAAGTTTGCTGTGGCAGAACAGGGATAAGAAAGGGTCTCTGGAGGCCTTTGGGAGGTCGGGAGGTACGTCCCTCACACAGGTGTGACCCTATGTGGCCTGTCAGAGTGTGCGCTCGGCCTTGGTTTTAGGCTTCCTTGTTTTTAGGCTGGTTCCCCCCGCTTTAAGTCTTTCTTGTTGAACTACAGAGCAGAGCTTTCTCTCCCGGCTTGGCTCAGGGATCTGCTTTGGCAGCAGAAGGGTTCAGTAGATCTCTGCTGTCCTAGCTGAAGCCTGGTTACGTCCATTTGCTGTTTGGCTGAGGAGGGTCAAGCCAACACTTGACATGCAGTGGCTGCCCTTCCCTCCTTAACGAAATCTCCGTTGTTTCTGGGTTTGTTTGACATGTCTGTGCTGAAGAGGTTGGCCACCTTTGGTGCAAGAGGATGAAGCTCTCAGCTTGCCAGGGAATGCCATGTTCCAAGGAATGAGTGTGCGTGGAGGGGCATGGGATGGAGGGGCACCGAGGGTCACTGTAGCTGGTAGCCAACGCGTGGCATTCCCTGCATTCCCATTGTCCAAGAATGGATTTTGAACAACTCTAAGTAACCTACCAACCTGGTACAGCGAGATCAAGGAGGCCCTTGGGATGAGAACTGACTCCATTTCTCTGTTCCTGTTTTTCTCACAGCAGTTATTATTTGTTAACGTTGTGGTAAAACACATTTGCCTTTCCTTACAGTGTGTTTATTTACTTATTCTTTTCCTGCTTATTTCTGGGTGCTCTTACAAAATAATATTTTGTTGCTGACAAAAAGTTTACTTTATGTTCATTGTCTCCCAGGTAAACGCAAAGCGCTGAAGTTAAATTTTGCAAATCCACCTTTCAAGTCCACAGCAAGATTTACTCTAAATACTTCTGGAGTTCCTTTCCAAAATCCACACATGTGAGTATAAAGCCAAAGGCACATATAGTGGAACATCTTTGAAATTATTTAGCCAACACAGTGTTATTTTAAAAGCAGTCTAATTTCTTCAGGTGTCTGTAGGTTGTTCAAATTATGAGGTTTGAATCACTGTAAAAGAATTTTTGTGATTTCCTCCCCCTCCCCCCCAACACACGCTTTTTTCAGAATGAAAAAAGGTTAAGTTTGGGATCATCTGTTTTACACTGGAGCTACTGTCTTCCAGAATTATTTAATTTTAGCTGAATTGTAGCTAGTAATGCAAGTTATGCCTATAATTAATTTCTGGACTTATTCACTGTCATTTTCCTGTCTCTTTATTCAGTGCTTATTACTTTTCATTAGAGAGAAGTTCTTATTTCTGTGTTACTTGTGAAAGACATAACTGTGATAGAATCTTTAGCACTTAAATAAAGAAGGAGGAACTGAGGGATATAAAACCACCAAAATGGAGATTTGAGGGAGGTGTGCAGTGATTAGTCCTCACCAAATTTTCAGGATAGATAGTTACGACGCATCCCTGTCTAAAGTTTGAATACACGTGTGGCACAGAGCTGTTCCTGACATTAATAAATAATGATAATACTTTGTCACAGAAAATATTAGCTTTGTATCCTCAGATCCACCAATCTAGATTGATGGGTTACCCACCCACAGCCTGAACATTTGGCAGAACCCAAATAACATGCAAAGATAGACCAGATTTTTCCCTGTTAGATTCCCTACTGGGTCTCAAGAGTTTTGTCAATGGCAAATCTCAAAGTGCACGTGAAACTTTCCTGCTGCCTGGACTCTTCAGGGGTGACCTTGGTTATAGCGTGCTTCTGCTTTGCTGTGCATGTTGCTGCCTCTCTCCTTTTGCTGAGTTCCTTCTGCTTCCCCAGGATATACTCTCTATGGTCTGTTCCTATTTCTGGTAGCTTCTTTCATGCTGAAGATTTTCAAGCAAGCTTTTACTGTGTTAGAAATATGTTTCTGGTAATTAAAAATAAAGATTTTTACATGACTACTTTAGAAGATTACTCTTACCACTCCAGTGAGTTTTCTAACAACTGTTCCTTCTCTCTTTTTCTCTCTTTTCCTTTGTAGAATAGTTTTTAATTGGTCGTAGGGTTAAGCTTTGTATTTCCATTTTCTGTATCTCTCCCTCAACATCATCAAACCCTCATAATAATTTTCTGAAAGCCCCTTTTGGACCATTTCCTATCTCAAACTTCCCTCACTTCAATATATAAGGGGTTTAGTCTCAGCTAGTGAGTTCCCATCAGTCTTCTCTATAGATTTGACTTTTCTGTGTTTATCTACACGGATCTCTGTCTTGGATTCATTGGCAGTCACAATGGTTCCTGTCTAGAATAGAAGAGCTTCCATTGGTAATTGGAGACATCTTAAGTTCCATGTTTGTGCAAGTGATTGCCTACATTTTCCATTAAGAAGGTGCTTCTCTCTCTTTGTGGGGACTGCAGTTGCTGGCATGGGTTGGATTTTGGGCTGGCGAATAGTATAACTGGTGTGGAAGGTTTGGAAATGTTTTGGGTTGGATATGAGAGATGTGGAAATATCAAAAAATGAAAATGAAAGTCATGTGCCTGCACTAAAACTTTCTTGTGAGGCTACAAACTGTAATAACCATTCCTAGTTGAAAGAGATGGATGTTGTGAGTTGGACTGCTTTCTCTGTATGGAGGTTGAATAAGCTTGGATATAACTATTATATCCTCACATCTTTATATTGTCTGTTACGGATTCTGTTCTTCAAAGGCAATGGTAACATCTTCTGGTCATGCACTTCTCCCAAGAGCTGTTCCTCTCACAGTTGGTGCATCACTGCAATATATTTGCATTCCCTATCTGGTCCTCAGGTCCTCTGGATAGGCTGGAATGTTTTGGGGTTTTTTTGTCTTCTGTTGTCCAGAAGATTTTCTAGACTTTAAATTTAAACTGGATATTCCAGACCACTTGGCTCAGATGCATTCTTAATTCATGATTCTGTTTACTGAATCATGGAACTGATTCTCAGCCTGATGGAATTAAGTGGACTTGGTCGTGTTGCTGTTGTTTGACTTCTCATGATAAGTGCTGGCTCAACACTTCCTTTTGTGGATTTCCCTGTGTAGGTCCTATTGGTCCAGATGGGTGGATCTGAAGATACAGAGAGGTCAGTTTCTCACAGGAAATTTCAGTTTCTGTGACTTGGATCCACCAATCCGGAGGCTGTCCCATTGTATCTGCCTCCAGAAGGGCAGAGCTTCCCCTCATCAAACACTTTCGCCTCATTCTTCTCTGAGCTCTGGAAATAACCTATGGGGAGCTGAGAGGAGGCAGTTTAGTGACCTGCAGGTGCCACAAGATGTAAATTGCCTATTAGCTGTATTTTGCTTGATTAACAGGTTTTGATCGGGGAACTGATCAGGCTGGATTGGTGGATATTCAGGTAAGAATGTGGATTCTTATTGTGTAAGTAGAGAGCAAAGTAACAAAACGGGGTTCTTCGTACTAGTGTAGCGTTTGTTAGAAAGGAGAAAGCTTCCAAATGAACAACATTCCTGAAGCAAAAGAAACAGCAAAAACATGTCATGCCAGACACGACCTTTAAAATTTCAGATCATCAGTCGTGGCCATTCTCATCATCAAGCAGAAGGTGTAACCACCAGAGACCAAAATTATCTGCAGTCTCTGATCTCTCTTACTGGTCTGTGGAGCTGCTTCTTGGCTTCATGCGCGTGTGAAATGTGTGTGGCCCTTGCATATCCTGTCAAGGTGTGAGTTCAGTCTTGTTTTTAGGGGCAAGGGATAGAATTCAACTGTGGCAAGAAAGAGATGATTCTCATATTGGCTGAAGTGAACTGAAGATAGGACTTGGTCTGGTTTCCACAGAAGGCGATGAAGGGTGACCCTAGTCATGTATGCTTGATCTGTGACTCCATTGATTCCTGTTGGTTGCTTGTTTGTATTGGCATGCTATCTGGAATAAATATTTGAAATGCTATGAAATCCAAATTTCAAGATATGAAATTATTAGGAGCTTTGGAATATCCTGGGCTACTAGCTGTGTTTCTCTGTTGTTACAAACCATGTGTTAAACCTTCTATAACCTAGTGAGCTGTGGGATAGGATCAGGAAAGTCATACTCCTATTAGCAAGCTATTTCCAGAACTTCACAGTTTGCCTGGGTAAAAGCTTTTTTGTTAATATGTAGGGATCCCTGGTATGTTCTTTCCTGGGAAAGAGATTCTACCTAACACATTGCTACTGGGTGGAGAAAAGTTGTTACCTAATGGAGAAAGCTGGAGCACAGGATCTCAAACGTTTTTCTGGCCCAAATCATTCCCCCTCCATTGCCCATTCTATCTTATCTTTCCCATCTTCTGCAGTGTTTTTTGAACTACATCTTACAGCTCCATTCTCAGGATGGGATTGCATCCTTCTGGGATATATCATAAAGCAATGTGCTGCCATGGATCTATAGGGAGCAAAGGAGTGTGCAAAGCAACATTACGGAAGATTGGACAATATGGGTGAGGGCAAGTTAGTTATGCAGCATGCAGGAGCAGACAGAGCCTATGAGTGGTTGGGACATCTGGGCTTAGCAGTGACATCTTGGTGTGGGCCTTGGAGAGGAGAGATGGCCAGGACTGTAGTTTCTGGCTGGTAGCGAGGGGGACTGTCAAGGACTCCAGTGCTCCTGTTCGTCCCTCCATGCCCATATTTCAACAGGCTTCTGCCCCTGCCAGCACATCTCAGTGCCCACCCCTTCCTTCCCCTTCCCTGAAGTCTTATCAGCTGCACTGGGACATCTGTGAAGGAGCAACACTTCATTATAGATGTGCAGGACACCGAGCAAGGAGGAGGCCGACAGAGCTCCGTGTAGGATGGAACTAAGTGCTACTCATCAGGGTGGGTGGCAAAACTCCCCACGTCTTCAGTGGGGCTAGGATTTTGCCTTTAATATTTTGTGAATTAGAACATCTGGTAAAATTAGGGGCTTTAAAGTGACCTTTAAACAGGAAACTGACTTGAACTCTCTTTGAATGAGATTTGAAACTGGGGGTACATTGCTAGGTGCTGTAATTTGGGCTATGGCTCCCCGAAATCTCCCATCCTGGTGATGTGGAGAGTTGTTGTTGCCTTTTTGCAACTAAAAACCACTCTGACCCTATGCATGGGCAGAGCTTGAGCTGACTTTTGAAAGTCTCTACTGTAGCCTTGTGTTTCCTGTGATTTTTCTTTCATGGATAGAATATATTGTGCAATAAAATGGAGTTTTCATCATGATCTGTGTGCTAATAGCAGTGCTTTTAAAATGCTGATGCCTGCTAAAATCCAGAACTTCTCTCAGAAGTTGAGCTAATAACTGATCTTATGAGAGGTGAGGTGGTTTTGGTTCCTGTGATGGCATCTTTCAGGGCTGGGCCCCAGGGTGAAGTGAAGCAACAGGAATCAAGGCAGAAGTTTTGAAATGAAGATGAATTCTGCTTCTGTGACTGCATGTGACTAATGGAGCATGACCACTTAAAGAAAAAGCTAAAAAGAGTGAGCATCTTGGTTAGTCTAACTGTGACTGTTGCTACCAATTCTATTTTATGAGTTCAGTGAGTGTTTTTTTTCTCTAATTATGGTATGCTTCCCAGCCTGTCTACAGAGCATCCAGCATGGTAATGTTCTGCATGCAACCTATGCAGAGCAAAGACCGAATAAAGCCTTTATTACAGAGATTAATTTGAAGAATAAAGTATTTAAGCAGTTTATTTCTGCAAAAATAAAATCTATGTCTTGCATGCTACATTAAAGCAGAGCAATGTCTTTTCAGAGTGGTTGTTCAGCTAGTTAAACCATCTTCAGAGAGTGAAATTCTTACTTGAAAGGGTGCAATCAAGAGTGATGTAAATACTTTACTGACAGCTGAACTCCCAATCCAGGAAAGCATCTGCACCTGCGTAAGCCTGGTCAGACTGAGGAGAGCTGGTATGTTGGTGCTGTGCTCTGGAGACTGGGTGGCAGTGGATGCTCTGGAGAGGTGGTGCTTGAGACCATAGCATGGCCTCACTAGTTTAGCCTGCATTGCTGGTTTACACAGGGTTAAACACTGCGTTTTACTGCAGCAGATGCTAGAGGCTAGAGATCACCAGCCATGGTCAGAGTGATCCCTTAAATACCAGAACTGCTGCTTTTTAATTGCTACTTCCAACTTACTGAAACACTCACACCTTTTACTTCCTCTGTTCTGCATCCAGGTAGGATTTAGGTCACAAGCAAAATTAGATTACTTAAATTATCTGTATGTAAGCCCACAGAGCTACTTACAACTGGTGGCTTTTGCTGCAAGGAGGCTCAGATAACACTAACCCTGGAACAACCCTGTGAGATATGACTGGTAGAGCTGGGCATGGCTTTGCCCGGTGACAGTGTGCACGGTGTTGGCTGCCTTTGGGCACAGTGGGAGCGAGCTGTTGGGTTGTGCTATGGATGTGTTCCCTGGTTTTCTGGGAAGCACTGTACTCTTCTGGTGTGCAGATGTCTCAATTTTGATTTTAGATTAGCTTTTAGATCCATCCACTTGCTACAAAGTGAGCATGCACAAAGGATTTTGTTTGGCCTCTTGTTTTCACAGCATGTTATTTCTTGAGCATTTTGCCTGGGAAATGTGTTGTCTTTTAGGTGTACCATTTCTCTAGAACTTGAGCACAGCGCATTGTGGTCCTATTTGGAAAGCTGTCAAGGTGAAATGACCTCTTTTAATGATCATGATTCCAGCATCTCAACCATGTGTTGGTCTGTAACCTCCCTGTAGCACTTAAATGTCTTTTTCTGCGTTCACCATCACTTGAACCTCTGGAGTTGCATGGTGCACCTTCTTCCTCTTGTGACATCTGAGAGATTCAAACATCCTCTCCAGAAAGATGCCCAACACAAGAGATGTGTTGTCAAACATGTATTTAACAGGCTTTGAGGTTAGATTCCTCAGAAGCTGAATGAGGTCCTGTTAGTTGAATTTCAGACTCTGCTGCTTCCTTTATTTCAGCATAGTTTAAGGACTGTCCTTACCTGGAAAAAAAAATTCTTGTTGTCCCAAAGTCTCTCTCAAGTGTCTACTTCTCTTTAATCTCCTCTTACCCTCACCCAAACCTTTTTGGCACCTGGTTTCAGGCTGCTCCCTGGCTGCCTAACCTACAGCTGGCTGCGTTCCATAGGAAATTCCTTTTTTAGTATTTGTCTGAAAAATGTTAAAACATGAATCAAAGTTTCTGAACCAGTCATGTTCACAATTACTTGGTGAAATTACCTGCAAATAGTTCTATGACTGTTCCTCATTTCTATCACAGTTATTCCACATCTTTAATATTACAAATTGCTCATACCTTTCTGATGCATGATACCTTCCTATTACATGATTGAATGCCTGGAAGTCTTGGAGACTCCAGTGGAAAAGGTATCATTTGAGATTTGTTTTTTTTTCCTTGTGAACATTCTGCAACATTTCTTAAGAGTTGCAGTACCTAGATGTAGTTACCAGGAAGCTTATTTGTATTTTCAACTAAGTAGAAGTAAAAAGGGATACCAGGACTCAGCCAGAGCATTTAAATGTTTGAGAGAGTCCACAGAAAATGTTTAAATAGGTTTGCACTTTTAACAGGAACATTGCAGCAGATTGAGTGCTAGAGCAGCACTCTTTACATATAATTTCTGAGGAGCTTTCTTGTTATATTGATGAGTTTTGTCAGTATTTGACACTTGTGCATCTTTCCAGAATTTTGCATCAATTTTAGTTGGCCAGTGATCCCTGTGGCCTCAATGACAAAGAGCTGGTATGGTTTTTAAAACATCTCTCTCCAGTATCTTAGATTTCAAGTAGGTCTGCTATTTGGAGAGGTTTTTACCAAAGCTAGTGTGAGGTTTTAATTGAACACACTACCTTAGGCTCTTTTTTTCTCACCTTCTAAATTTCACACTTTCTCTAACATGGTAATTCTGTTTTAGCAGGGGAGCTTTTTGCTTCTCAAAGTGAGTTTCCGTAGAAAGCTCCATGTCCTTTAGAGCCATAGTAGGACTGTTTACGTCTCTCTGCATGGGTTTGGTACTGCTCTAATTCTGAATTAGAGCTTTTCATTTTTTAAAGACCAAAATCTGGAGCCTGGAACTCTACATTAAGCTAACCTGTACTGATTTTTCAAAGGTGCTGAGCATCTGTAGCTTTCTTTTAATGTAGTGGGACCTGGAGTCCTCAGAGCTTCTGGAAACCTAGAAACCTGGAAATCACCTGCATTGGGGTGATTTCACTGATGCTAAAAGCTTATCTGGCTCCCATTATCATGGGTTTTGAGTTCTTCACACTTGTCCCTTGATTTAGCTTTGCAAGGCTACATAGTTAAAGACAGACCCGTGCTCCTCATTTTGTAGATGGGAATCTGGCGAGTACCACAATATGGGAAATAT